AAAATACAACATATATATATATATATATATATATATATATATATATATATATATATGTGTGTGTTTCTTAATAAAGAAGTTACTTTGTTGTTGTTATAGCTAAACCAGATTAATCACTTTATATAAGGCATCCCACATTAACATAATAGTAATAGGCAAACATAAGCTTTGGTTTAATTGTCCCATGGTTGCAATAAAATATCTAACAAACCGTTTTATTTATTCGGGAAAGGCACTTTACAAATTCATACTGGTTATGTCCGAACCAAATGCATTAAACTCTCCTGAATATCCCACTGATGGGGTCATGAGATAAATTAGATGGATCTTATTCAGATATACTGTACATAAACTGTAATCCATTCCTCTCATGAAACATAATTATATCATAAAACAGTTAACATTATTTCTAAATTAGATATATTTTTTTTAATGTATCTTTACATGTAACTGCCACAAACACTGACTTAAATGATGGATGTTCATCATTGGAGCATTTATAGATTTACATTTATGCATTTACATTTAATAATGAATGGTGAAATAAAGCCTGATTGTGGTTGCATGTTCTGAAATGGTAAACATCCCATGTCACAGCCACGTCTAACCTGTTGTCAGGAAGTTTAAAAATCATGTGGAAACCATAAAAAGCAGATCTTGGAAAGGTAAGGTTGCATGCTGGTGGTATGTTTGAGGATATGAGCACAGGTCATCGTGAAGGAGTTCTCCCTTTAAGACAATGTGAGAGGAAGTTGAGCATGACACGACTCAAATCAAAACAAGTCATTCTTACTGGTTCAACAGAGTGAAGTAAGGGTGGGCAATAATATAGTTAAACTGCTAATACACTCCATATATAAAACAATATACTTTATGTATGTATGTATAACCTGGTCTTTGGGAATTAAAATCATTGTGATATCCACTATGTTGCTTAACTGTGTATGGTTTGCAAATCATCATGTAAATATTGTTATCTAACAAACCGTTTTATTTATTCATTTATTTATTTTTAAATCACACTTTAAATTGAGAAAACAAGTTCATGTAGGAGGTATGTAAATACAGTACATAGGAAGCATAAGTCAAAAAGCATAAATCATTAAATAGCAGTCCAAATATTGCATTCAATAAGGTTACTTTAGAGTTGTAGTGCATTTTTCACTGATAAATTATATATGCCATTACTGCCAAAGCTAAAAGATCCAAATGCATAATGTGTTTTTTTTTTTTTTTTAAAGAAAAAAAAAGCAATTATGTGTGCAACTCAAGCTAACAGATTCAAGCAGCTTAAAGGTGGAGTAAACAATTTTTCAAAAACGCTCTAGAAAACTGTTTCAGGCCAACTAGCAAAACAAACTTGTAGCCAATCAGCAGTAAGCAGTAAGAGGCGTGTCTACTCATGATGTGGAGGAGAGAGCGTTCAGTGCACAGGACGGACATTAGCGAGCCGAGCGACAGAAAGATAGAGATGGTTAAAAGAAGGCTTAAGCCTTAAGGCAATAAGGCAAGAAGTAGGACCCGTGTAAATATCGGATCAGCGTTGCGTAGGTATGTGTGGGGCGGAGCTATCAAAATAGGGGCAATACCCTTTTGGGGTAGGGGCGTGTTTGTTTTGGTGATTTCAAATGTCAACATTGGCTACCAGAAATTGCTTACCCCACCTTTAAGGGAGTTAATGAAAATGATGAAATACTCTTTGAATCACTGTGCTTCATAAACTCAAGATGAATATAAACACTTCTGAGTGCTCACATCAGCATGACTATAATATAAAGGGTGACTGCTCTGCAATCTTTCATGTGAAATTAACTACACATGTCAGATTGCCTCACATGCCATTACAGCCCAGCTAGGGTTAAAGCAGGTGGTAAAGCAGAAACGGACATCAGGGCCACTTTCATCTTATGCTACCTGATGCACTGTACTGGTTATAGGATAGAGGATAGATATGAGATCCATGGCTCATCAGCTCTGGATAATTTTGTCTCCCTGTTGCTGCTGTTCTGTGTATAGACTCAGTAAAGCTTTGACTTGTTCCAGGTCTTTAAAGGGGCTGGGTCTGTAGCTGGTCCGCAACCATGCCCGGTACTAAAAGAGAGAGAGAAAGCATGTGTTCAGTGCAAGCAAGCATTTATATAACCTTTTCCATCATCAAAACCAGAACAAATTGAAGGTTGTGGTATGACTCAGAGACAACAGAGCTTATTAGTATAGTTTCAGTTGCTGTGCATGGTTTGATGCAGAGACAATAGGAAATCATAACATTTTATGTCATTTTTATGCCATTCTGTATGCTATGTTTTCCCTATGCATAACTGAAATTGTGTTGTCAGAAGCCATTCGCTGGTGTACTGGGGATATCTTAGTGACTCAATCGCATTTCTTCACATAAATAAAAGCCGAAATGTGGAGTGACTATCTTTAATTTGCTCATTAAAAGGACAGCCCCATGTAAACACGTGCTGGATGCTATTATAGGCTTTTCTGGAAACTCTTAAGACTCACAAGAAATTAATTTGTTAGAAATCAGTTTCACTTTTGATCACAGTGCCCTGAGCCAATGTGAAACAAATGTTCTTTGACCAAACCAGAATCATACACCGATCATTAAGTGTAACTGAATGGTGTTAGAATTTTCCTATGAATCCCATCAGGGGTTTTCTTCTGGGAATGGCATCGCTATGTTTTAATAAAAAACCTGACCACTGCCTTAGTAATACTATCCTCACATCATCCACGTATCATCAGCAGGTTATTTTCCACAGAAAAAAAAAACATATACTAGAAACACAGCATCCAAGCTTGTAATATATTTAACAGTCGAGTGCAGCTATGTTATGTCTTGAGAAGCATGGTGGGAATTCCCTGGCACACAGCCCTGCTCAGGGTCTGTGCTGGAACAGAGTGGGAGGACAGACATCCGTTTACTTTCCAGGCAGACTGCCTTTACTAGATTAGGCTTGCCACACAACTTGTTTTACATGTTGTTCACTAAGACAGCCACATACTTTAGCAGTTCCATTTCTGGATCATTATGATTCAAAATAACTTAAACAACTAACTGCCAAAAAAAAGTTTTTAATGTTGTGTGCGTATGTGTGTATACATAGAGTATCAGAAATATTCTTCAATATGTTTTTGTTGTTGTTGATTTACATCTTGAAATTAATCTGTGAAATTAAACAAATAACAACATTGTACAATACCAGGAATTGGCAAGTATCTGGTGTGTACAATATCTTAAACACATTAAAAGTAAAGTAAATTTAGCAGCTGGTCATCAGACTATTTATTTGCTGCATAAATGAACAGAGAGACACAGAATTTCTTCTCTTCTGGTTATCTATCCAAAGCAGTTTCACTATGAGAGTGAGCATTTATGCTTTCCCCACTCCAAATGGAAGTGTTCTTTAATTCTTGTTACAAGTGTGTCTTTACTGTTGCATGTTTACTGTGAGTGGAACAGAAATAAGCAAAATAATAAAAGCCAGAATAATCTGTGACCACTTACAGCTTCCTGCCAAAACGCATTCTGCATTCTTCTACATCTTGCGGACCAACATCTCAGCTGAAATCTCTGTATGACTTTATATAGGAACATTAGATTCAGGTCAAATCTATGAAGACAGAGCTCCTTAGAATCCCTGCCAAACCACCAATTGATCACAGTCATAGTCAACAGCTTCTCATTCAAGATTTTCATTACAAAATAGGACTATTGCAATGCTCTACTGGCCAGACTTCCAGCCAGTGCAACTAAGCCTCTGCAGATGATCCAGAATGCAGCAGCAGGTCTGGTTTGCTCTAGCTTGTGTACTGATTTAGCTTATACTTAAAACTTGTCATTGTGTGCTACAAATACTGTTTGAAATTATGATAAATTGCTTTAGATTTTTCCCTTACAAAGAAAGTTTTTTTTTTTTTTTTCTGAAAGTAAAATTCAAGTAAGTATCCATGTATGCTTCACGTAGTAAATTAAGCATATAGCATTAGTTCTTGCAGGTCATGTGAGTCAAGCTTGAATCAGCTGACTCAGCTGATCACACCTACCTATAGGAATATGACACCTATCATTAGGCCTGTCGCAATAATCAATATATTGACTTAACGCGCAATATATGTACATGAGCTCAATAATTTTTGGTGACACAATATATCATCCATTATATTCACTTAAAAATTAATGTCACCGTGTTTTTTACATTCCACTTGCGCCAGTGTCTTTTGCAGTTCTCGTACATAACGTGGTGTAGTCATGAGGTGCTAGTTCAAATTAAAATAAAAAAAATGCTTCTACAAAAAAGTTTCATCTGAAGATATGGCCTTGTTTAGGGATCTGTGTGTTTTTCCATACGGACATCTGATTACTAAGTAGGGACTGTGTTTTTCAGCAATAGTGTACACCCTTAATTTACAGAGAAAAGAAGGTCCGGGAAAAATCTGTAGATGGAAAAATCTCCATAAAAGTGCATTTTTCTTTTTTTTTGTACTTGTTACTTAGAACTAATTTGTTAGAAAACGTTTATTTACTATTTATTCAAGTTTTTAAGGTATCTAATATTTTGATACTTAATTTTCATGATCTAACTATTCTTAAAAATTAAAAGTTTGTTGTCATTTGGAAGTGTGTAGGCCTTCTTGCATTATTATGCTGTTACATTATGATTATATACTCAGTGGCATA